ATTCTCTTTTATGACCAAGTGGTAAATAAACTCATCCTGTGAGGGGCATTTAGGTTGATGCCATATTTTAGTTATTTGTAAATAATGTTGCAGGGAACATGGGTCCCAAGTATCTTTTTGGTATTAAGATTTCATTTTTTGGTACTAAGATCTGGGTATATACCCAGGAGCAGAATTGCCGAACCATATAATAGTTGTACTTTTAGTTTTTTTGAGAATCTCCATACTGTTTTCCATAATAGCTGTACTAATTTGTATTGCTACCAAGTGTGTAAATATTCACTTTTCCCAACATCCTCAGCATTCATTATTTCTTGTCTTTTTGATGATAGCCATTCTAACTGGAATGAGAGGACATCTTATTATGATTTTTGATTTGCATTTTTCTGCTGAATAGTGAAGTTGAACATTTTTATATATTTGTTGGATATTTATAACTTCTTTTGAGAAGTGTCTGTTTAGTTTTTTAGCCCATTTTTTTATTTGGACTGTTTTTGGTGTTCATTTTTTTTAGTTTCTTACCGTGTTTTGGTTTTCAGTCCCTTATCAGGCGTATCTTTTGCAAATATTATCTCCCTTTCTGTATGTAGGTTGTCACTTGATCTTGTCACTTCCTTTGATATGCAAAAGCTTCTTAATTTAAGGTAAGCCTGTCTTTTGTTGTTGTTGTTGCCTGTGATTCTACGGTCCTATGTGAAAAAAAATCATTGCCTATACCATTGTCTTGAAGTGATTCTGGTATGTTTTTATACAGTAATTTCATAGTTTTAGGTTTAAGATTTAGGATTTTGATACATATTTTTGTCGGTTTTTGTGTATGAAAATAGATATCAGAGAAAGATATCTATTTTCATTCTGCAGATGTCTATTCAGTTTTGCCAGCATTATTAATTGAAGAGACTGTCCTTTCTCTACTTTATGTTCTTAGTGTCTTTGTTAAAAACCAATCCGCTGTATGAGGGTGGATTGATTTCTGGCTTCTCTGTTCTATTCCATTGGTCTAYGTATCTGTTTTTTATACAGTACCATACTTTTTTTTAGTAACTAGAGCTTTGTAGTATATTTTGAAGTCTGGTGCTGTGATGCCTCCAGCCTTGTGTGATTTTTTTTTTTGTGTGTGTGTGTGTGTGTGTGTGTGTGTGTGTGTGTGTTTTCAGGATCTCTGGCTATTCTGGGTCTTTTGTGATTCCAAATGAATTTTAGGATTGGTTTTTCTATTTCTGTCAAGAAAGTCATTGGGATTTTGATGGGAATTAACATTGACTCTATTGATCACTTTGGATAGTGTGGTTATTTTAACAATATTGATTCTTCTGATTCATGAACATAGGCTATCTTCCCATTTTTTTGTGTGTATCATCTTAATTTCATTTATCAGTGTTTTCACTTCCTAAATTTGTAGTATTGTGAATGGGATTGCTTTCTTAATTTCTTTTTCTGTAAGTTCATTATTTGTGTATAGATATACTACTTTTTATGTTGGTTTTTTAAATTCTGCTACTTCACTGAATTTATTTGTAAGTTCTAACAGTTTTCTGATGGAGTAATTTATGGTTTTCTATGTGTAGGATCATGTCATCCTCAAACATGGATAATTTGTCTTCATTTCTTTCAAAAGATGCCATTTCTGTCTTTTGCCTAATTGCCATTGCTAAGACTTCCAATATTATATATTAAATCAGAGTGGTGAAAGTGGAAAGCCCTTCCGTGTTCCTGATTTTAAAGGAATTGCTTTCAGGTTTTCCCCATTTGGCCCTGGGTTTTTCATATATAGCACTTATTATTTTGAGGATTGTTTTTTCTACACCTAATTTGTTCAGTTTTATCATGAAGGGATTTTTTTWAAAAAAATTTTAAATTGTAGATGGTCACAATTTGTTTATTTGTTTATGTTTTTATGTGGATTGAACCCAGTGCCTGACATGTGCCAGGTAAGTGCTCTACCACTGAGTCACAACTCCAGGCCCTCATGAAGGGATGTTAATTCTTTTTGTTGTTGTTTGTTCATTTGGTTTTGGTGGTATTGAGAATTGAATCCAARGGCACTCTACCACTGAGCTGCATCCCCAGCCCTTTCTATTTTTTGAGACAGGATCTTGCCAAGTTGTCTAGCTAGGCTGGCTTCAAACTTGTGACCCTCCTGTCTCAGMCTCCCAAGTCACAGGTTATAGGCATGTACCACCATGCCCAACTTGTTGAACCTTTTTAAATCCTTTTTATGCATCTATTGAAATGATCATAGGAGTTTTGTCATTCATTCTGTTGATGTGTTGTATCATGGTTTTTGATTTGTGTATGTTGAACTGTCCTTGCATGCCTGGGATGAATCCCACCTGATCATGATATATGATGGTTTTGATATGTTATTGAATTTGGTTTGCTAGTTTTTGTTTGTTTTGTTGTTGTTGTTGAGAATTTTTGTATCTGTACTCTTGGGAATATGGGTCTATAGTTTTCTTTTTTTAATTCTGTCTGTCTGGTTTTGCTATAATGTTTGCCTCATAAAAAGAGTATCTTGGGCTGGGGATGTGGCTCAAGCGGTAGCGCGCTCGCCTGGTATGCGTGCGGCCCGGGTTCGATCCTCAGCACCACATACCAACAAAGTTGTTGTGTCCGCCGAGAACTAAAAAAAAAATAAAAAAATATTTAAAAAATTCTCTCTCTCTCTCTCTCTTTCTCTCTCTCTCTCTCTCTCTCTCCTCTCTCACTCTCTCTTTAAAAAAATAAAAATAAAATAAAATCATTGTAATTAGTAAAAAGTTTAAAAAAAAATAAAAAGAGTATCTTCTATTTCAGTGTTTTGGAACAGTTTAGAAAGAATTGGTATTAATTCTTTCTTAAATGTTTTGTAGAATTCACTTGTAAAACTATCAGGTTATCCCTTCTCCAATCTGCTCTGTCATTAATTCCATTTTCATTTCTTAAGAGAAAGACAACAAGAAAATCTGCTAAGAATAAACAAAATGTCTTCAATTTGAGCTTATTTGAGGTATCAGGAAGGAAGCTAATTTAGAAAGGGAAGTGGCATAATATTTCAGTATCTGAGCTCTAATTGAGAAAATCCTTTGTTTATTTGCCTATAGGGTATTAGAAACTGGTGCTTTGGATTAAATTATAATTAAATATTTCTGTTTTTTTACTATAATTCTTCTCAGATAACATTATAATCCTCCTAGCAAGCAATATATAATTGTCTTAACTAATTTTTCTCAGCAGTTTCTCAGTCACAGTAAAGCCTTCCACTTCACAATTCTTAATAGTAATTAAACTTTTTATTTACAATACTTCTGACACCAAATATGATCCCCTGCCCTATATTAATTCTTTAACTTGTGAACACCAGTAGGGTATCCTGCTATTCAGTTTAATTCTGACTCTACCTAGTATTACTTAACTATGTCAGACTGTAGGTTTAAGGGTTCAGTCCCACAAGACTGCTCTCACTTCAGATACTGTTAGCACATACTAGGTCCTCAGGTTATCTATGCTTCTTCCTGGATTGGGTACAAATCAGAGGTTCCCACAATCCCCCTTCCCTTCAGGTTCAATAATTTGCTGGAGTGGCTCACAAAACTTTATAAAACACTTTACTTCCTATTATCAGTGTATTATAAAGGATACAAATAAAATAGCCAGATACAGAAATATATAAGGGTGAGATCCAGAAGGGTCTGGAGCGTAGTTGGGGTACACCACAGTTCTTGTATGTAGATAAACATTCAATTCAGAAGCTCTCCAAGGTCTTCCTTTAAATTTTTTTTTCCCTAATGGAGATTTCCTTATGTAGGCCCAGTTGATTAAATCAAGTCATTGATGATTTAATTCAATCTCCTGCCCCTCTCTCCTCCATAGAAGTCATGTCTTGGTCTTTTCTGTGACCAACCTGAGTCCCAAAGCTATCTAGGAGCCCTTTAGCCAAGAGTCATGTCATTAATATAGCATAGATACTCTTTCACTCAGTAGATTTCAAGCACTCTAGAAACTCTATGCCAGGAATTAGGAACAAAGACCTAATTTTTAAAAATTATACCATAGTAACCCTTATTAATTATATCCCATCCGTTACAGGAGCTATTGTTTTTTAACATGGTATGAAGAACTTGATGGTAAATTTTCCAAAAGGATTAGCTTAAAACAGTTTTAAATTATGAAGTAGAAAAATTTAAATGAATTRTATAACTATCTCATTTATAAGAATTAGTGAAAGAAGACTTACCATAATGTACATTTTAGTTATATTTTATGCATTAGGTACAATATTACTACAGTTTTCAAATTTAATTRAATATCAATAAAAACATTAAATATAGGAGATTGTCTTATTATAAAATAGAATTTGTATGTATTGCCTAYATGTATTCTTTATTATGTAAGGGATTTTGTAAATCCATGAACTAGTTTATAAAATATTTAATTTTGAAAATTATTTAAAAGACCATATTAATATTTCTTGATAAATCAAGGCAAAGTTTTTATCCTAATTTAATTATATATGGGGGGGAAGAGAAGGGGAGGGAGGAAGGGATGCAAAGCATAATGTCAGTCAGGATGAAAAATGTTTATGCAGATTCAATTGTTGAATATAATTTATGAGTAAATTATTTTAGGATAAATTATAAATTAGTTTAGGATTGTCCTATGGATTTTTTTTGTTTTCATCTTTTTTACTTAAGATTTAAGTAGAACAGAAAAAACCAAATCAGATAAAATTTTCAGAAATATTTTCATGTATTTATATGTTTATATACTTAAAATATTAGCCCTTTTTATAATTGTTATCTCAGTTTAAAAATATAGTTGAAATGTACTTATATGTTAGGTATTAAATATGTTGGATTTTTTACTTAGGGTACAACAAATATGTATGCTTTTAATGTAGTTTTTCTTATTTTCAAATTGGAATTTTCCAAGTCATTTTGGACCTCTTGAGTAGTTGCTATTATTATTTTTACAAACTGTTGATTTAGATTCCTAAATAATTCCCCCCTTTTTTTAAACAGAGATAAAAGCAACAGTGTTTGATGACTGCAAGAAAGAAGGTGAATGGAAGGTAAAATTGTATACTTTGCTCTTATATTGAGGACTTCAGTATGTTGTACTTTAGGATACTTCTTAAGGAAATAGGAACTGGACTTACACTGTTTGCCTTCAAATCCTAACTTCACATCTTAATGGTGTTTCTGCCTCTTGTTTTCTTGTCTATAAAATAAGGATGGTAGTAACTCAAGTGCTACTTGTAAATATTAAGTGAACTAAGTGTCATTTTTCAGTAAGTGATGATTTGTGATTTGAAGAAAATCTTATGTTAAATATAAGACATTTAAAATGAACAAGCTCCTGCATCAAAATAGAAATATTTCTATTCCTGTGCTTATATATAATACTGTGTGTATGTCTAGTGATAAAATTAATTTTCAGATCATGCAAGTTAAAACATGAGTTGAGATCATTTTGCTAACTGTCATGATATTTTAATTTTATGTTATAAATGATCTATAAATCTGAGTAGAGTTAAGGGCCAAAATTCTGTCTTTTGTGAATTTTTGGTGTTCAGATACTTATAATATATTAATTTGTATTTCTTTTAAGATAATGCTTTTAGATGAATTTACCACTAGGCTTTTGGCATCATGTTGCAAAATGACAGATCTTCTAGAAGAAAGTATAACTGGTAAGTGTTACAAATTTTTCTTATGAATGCTTTCTTATACTGATTGGGAAGGTCTGAAGTATTGAGAAATTTTAGTGCTGGGAGCATGACACAGTGGGCATACCTGTAATTCCAGTAATTTCAGAGTCTGAGGCAGAGGATTACAAATATGAAACTAACCTTGACAATTTAGTGAGTCCCTGTCTCAAAAGAAAATTTAAAAAGGGGCCAGAAAGGGTTGGGGTTGTGGCTCAGTGGTAGAGCACTTGCCTAGCATGTTTGAAGCACTGGATTCAATTCTCAGCACCATGTATAAATAAATAAAATAAAGATCCGTCAACAACTAAAAAAATATATATACATATATATGTGTATATATATAAAAGGGGAAGTGCAGTTGTAGCTCAGTAGTAGAGCACCTCTGGATTTAAATTCCCAATACCACCAAAAAAAAAAAAAAAAAGAAAAGAAAGAAAGAAATTTGAGTGCTAGGGATATAGCTCTGGTAGCTCATGTGCTTTGCATGTGTAAGTGAGGCCCTGGGTTCAATCCTCAGCACTATAAAAAAATTATTGTATTTTTATTTTTGAGGACATTATGTTTCATTATGACTCTACCAATAAATAACCTCTCTAAATTTTTACCTTGGAGGCATATAATTAAGTGCCCTGGCCAAGACTTAAGTCAATTACTTTGTTGAGGTGGTTCTTTAATTTTTTTTCCTCTTACATATTTGGTAGTTTAGTTTATTGCTATACTAGGTTTACCTCAGTGGTTTCATTAATGTTTCTGGGGTTTTTGTTTTTAGTGTTTTGTTTTGTAGTGCTGGGTATTGAACCCAGAGCTTCACGTGTGCTAGGTAAGCACTCTACCACTGAGCGACATCTCCTGCCCTTGTCATTTATTTGTATTGTTTTTCAATGACTATTAAGATGTCATAAAATCAGCCTTTGTACATATTTTAAAATACATAATATTGATTCGAAGTTATGTTGTATTAATCTGTATTACCTTCTGGAGGAAGTACCAACATCTTATAACATTCATGATCATGTTATTTTTAACTCATCGTCCATTAACTCATTTATTTATAAATTTGATCTTCATAATTCCCCTGTACAGAGAGAGATTAAATACCCCCATCTGCAATGAAGAAACAGACTCAAAGTCAAATACAGTTCTTTTATATTTTGCTCCTAAGTATATACCCAATATTTTCTAGAAAGTCTGACCATAAAATATTTATGGGCTTTTTTGTTTGGTTTTTGGTTTGGTTTTGGGGGCATTAGGGATTGAATCTATGGACACTCTACTGCTGAGCTACAATCCCAGCTCTTTTTTATTTTGAGTTAGGATCTTGCTAAATTGTCCAGACTGACCTCAAATTTGCAATCCYTCTGCCTTAGCCTCCAGAGTAGATGGGATTGCAGGTATATGCCACCACATCCAGCTAATATTTGTGTGTTGATAGTCACATGTAAATTAATCTTTATCATTAATTGTATTATATATTCAATTTATGATCTTTATGGAAAAAGTTGTAAACTAGAAATTAGATTAAAGCTTTAATTTTTTTTACTATTAATAAAGTAAATTGTTGATTAAGGCTATGTAAGTTTTTCAAGTTCCCAGAGGATATTTTGCTCTGAAACTAGGATGAGCACCATTTTATAAATGTGTGAAAGCACAATGAAACTGTAGAGAACTATAAAGAGTTTTTAATTACCTTTTTCTGTAGACCATTGTTTTTCTTACTGTGGCCTGGTCTTGTAGACCAACACATATATAGATCTCCTGGGTAAAAATATTTGTATTCTTTTTTTAAATTTAAAAAAGGAATACTAATATTCCTTTTCTTTTCTTTTCTTTTCCTTCCTTCCTTCCTTCCTTCCTTCCTTCCTTCCTTCCTTCCTTCCTTCCTTCCCTCCTTCCTTCCTTCCCTCCCTCCCTCCCTCCTTTTCTCCTCCCTCTCCCCCTCCCCCTCCCCCCCCCTCCTCCTCCTCCTCCTCCGACTATATCATAGAGCACAGTGCTATGGAATGTTCTCAATATCTTCCAGAGTCATGTAGGTTTGCTCTGGTTTAATCACAGTCATTATCTATTAGTTTAAACTTATGGTCCTTTCAAATTTTATATTAGCCCTTCTAAGAACCTTTATATGAGACTTGGCATTGGCATATTCACTGGTCAGACTTTATTTTGTCATGCAGGTCATTTTGAAAATGTTCAGTAGTGTCTTGTTATTTACTTGTTTATTTATTTATGGTACAGGGGATTGAACTCTAGGACACTCAACCACTGAGCCACATTCCCAGCCCTATTTTGTATTTTATTTAGAGACGGAGTCCTACTGAGTTTTTAGCACCTTGCTTTTGCCAAGGTTGGGTTTGAACTCAGAATCCTCCTGCCTCAGCCTCCCAAGCAGCTGGGATTACAGGCATGTGCCACTGTGCCCAGCATGGGTCTTGTTATTCTTTAAAAGTCAATGAGGGAAGAGGCTCAGGCTGTGGCTCAGTGGTAGAGCGCTTGCCAGCATGCGTGAGGCACTGGGTTCGATCCCCAGCACCACATAAAAAACAAATAAAAACCTTAAAAAGTAAAGATTTGGAATTAGACTTTGTCATTATTGAAGACCTTTCTTTTTTTTTTAATATTTTTTAGTTGMAGTTGGACACAATATCTTTATTTTTTATTTATTTTTATGTGGTACTGAGGATCGAACCCAGGGCCTCACACATGCCAGGCAAGCTCTGTACCACCGGGCCACAACTCCAGCCCGAAGACCTTTCTTTATCATTTAATAGATATACACTTTCAGTGAATTGGAGAAGTAATACTTTTCTGCTCTTGTTAAACAGATATTTCATTTTTACAGGGTTGTACCTGTACATTATTCACCAAATTATAATAGTATGTACAGCACAGAATGATTGTTAGATACTTCATTTTGAGTATTAACCACTAGAAGTAAATTTACATTGAATCTTAATCATTTTGGGGGAACTGTGGGGATGGAACCCAGAACCTCAGGCATGCTAATAATTAGTATGTGCTCAACTAGCAAAATTCACCCCAACCCCCCTGAACCTTAATCTTTTAAAAGTAAAAATCATGGTTGTTGGAATTGTATAAAAATTACAATTTCCTACCTAAAGTATTTGAAATTTTCTTTGGAAAYTTTCTTTGATATCTAATAACAAACTGTACATTAGTAATATTAATTTAAGAATGAAAAAARTGAAATCACCATATTTAAGAGAGAAGTCCAGGGTGTGTAGGGTTGTAGCTCAGTGGTAAAGCACTTGTCTAGCATGCACAAAACCCCAAATTCCATCTCCACTACTGGGGGAAAATAAAGTCCAACAGTAGCCTTCATTGCATGTCACATATGTTGATTCTTAATAGTCCTTTGCCAATACAAGTCTTGAAATATGGTTCTTTTGATTTATAGGATACTTTTAGTTTTTTTTTTTAAGAGCTTTAAGTAATTTGACAATTAGGATTTGTTACATTCACTTTGTTTTATTGTTGAAAAAATATAAATGTTAGTATGTGGTTTTAAAAGATTAGTGTCCTCAATTTTAAAATACTCTTTCAAAATAAACAGGTATGGTGCCCCATGCCTATTATTCTAGCTACTCCAGAGGCTGAGGCAGGAGGATCAAAAGTTTGAGGACAGTCTGAGCAACTTAGCAAGATCCTGTCTCAAAATAAAAAATTGAAAGTTAAAAAGGCATGGGGTTGTAGTTTGTAGTTCATGATAAGAGCACCATTGAATTTAATCCCCAATACTGAGGGAAAGTACTCATAGTGTGGTTATAAGGTTTCATAAATAATATATGTAAAGTCTTTAGTGTAGTATAACTGGTATCATATTTGCTATTATAATAGAATATTTTTAAAGAAATATATTTTTAATTTTTAATGCATTTTCTTTTTTTTTCATGGCATATTCTTTGCTTATGCTGGTAAACCTACCTATGAAATCACTGTTTTATCTTTTTTTCTCACAATGAGAAAGCAGTGMAGCCTATGATTTAGACTCAGGGAAGACACACTTTTATGATTTTTTAAATTTACCAAATGAAAAAAAAGCSTTGTGTATAAATGTGTTTCTCTATTATTGTAAATGGAAAGTACAGTAAAATTTATTTAAAATTTGTTTCAAATGCATAAATATTTGCTTGTATAAAGTGACCTTTTTGTTATTGTTGTTAGTTGTGGAGAATATTTATAAGAATCGTGAACCTGTCAGACAAATGAAAGCTCTTTATTTTATCACACCAACATCAAAAGTGAGTATATTGTCTTTAAAAAGTGGATTCCTGGGCCCTGGGTATATCTCAGTATATATGTATATCTTATACATATTAAGAAGAGTGAGTTCTTAATATGTATAAGGTACTGGGTTCAATCCCCAGCACAAAAACTGTAAAATGAAAAGTATATTCTTTAGTATATAAAATAAAAAAGTATATTTTTTAGTATTGTCATGATTTGCTATTAGAAAATTAAAAGTAATGAAATACTCCTCTTCAGAAAAATATTTCCGTAAATTATTTTGTTTAGTAACCTTCTGTTAGAAGGTTGTTTTATTTGTTCTTTTCCCAATGGAAACAAAAATGAAAGCTTTCCTTTCTCATATATATATATATATATATATATATATATATATGCAAAATTTAATTGTATAAAGTGGTAGAGTTTCTTTGCATAATTTGTTGTTCATGCAGTTTTTATTGATCCATAATTTTGAGGAAAATGGAAATATAGATAAAAGAAATAGATCTTGTATTAATCCTTTATTTATCATTGTGACTTTCCTGTACTGTATGTATGTGTATATGTGCATATGGATATGTCTGTATGTTTTTGTATTTTATTTCAAAAGAACTTTTTCCATTTACAGTCTGACTATATGATTTAACTCATACTTTAAGCCAAACTTAGAGCCAAATAAAGTTCCTTCCTTTATTCGGAAAGTATCTGAGAATGTATTTTCCAACACCTCCTCTTACTCATTTATACCTAGAATATTCATCATTTGGTGATCCCAATTTCATTTCACTTCTAACTCTAGCAGATGATAGGGAAAAAAATCAGATAATCAATATTTAGCCTCTACATATTACTACTGGTACAAAAGGGGTTTTAATGGCAGTTTATAATTTATCCATGATATAATTCCACAGAAGAAAATTCATGATTAGAGAAAAATGCAAGTTAAAAACCACTGTTGTTTCTGATGTACTGGTACACACACACCTGTAATCTCAGCTACTTTTAGAAGGTTGAGGCAGAAGAATTTCATGTTTGAGGCCAGCATGGGCAACTTAGCCAGAAACCATATCTCAAAATAAAATTAAAAAATGCTGGGAATGTAGCTCAGTGCGAGGCTCTGGGTTTAATCAATCCCCAGTACTACAAAAAGCAAACCATTCTTTATGTAGCAAATCAGTCAGTCAGTCAATCCATCTATCCATCCATTCATTCATTCATTCATTCATACACACACAGTATACATACAGACAATATCTGTGTACATATGTATGTTACATTTTAGCTATTTTATCTGTTAGTGAGTAATGAAGCAGAAACTGCCATATACTGTTAGTGGAAATACAGATTGAGATAACCTTTTTCAAAAACAATTTGCCATTCTTTCTTAAGAATCTTATAAGGGTGCTCTATATTTTAGAATTAATAGTAAGAAAATAATCATATAAATGGTCAAATAAAGTTCCTATGAATAATTAAGACCAGGTAAATTRCTAGAATTAATAAAACATAGAATGAGTAATCATTAAAAATGAGGTTTTTGGGAATTTTTCATGACCTAGGAATTCACTTTTAATATTAAATGATAAAATCAGGATATAAGATTGTATATTCAATAACAGATTAAAGGATTCAGAGAAGATGGTGCTTGGATGTGCCTCCCCTCCCTACCACAGCCAACTGAAGTTTCTCCTCTTGTCCTGAAACAAATGCCTGCTGGGTTCTATAGGCCTCTGTGTATGTGAGGCATTGGGGTTCTTGAGAGCTCTGGTAAAGAAACATAGTATGAGACTTGCATCCTCATGAACTGGGAGTACTTGGAGACCAACACAAGAGTTCCCAGACAAGGATTCTAATGTGACAGATTTCAGAAAGAGTTTGCTATAAGAGATCTGTAAACTCCAGGGGGAAAAGTCAATTGCATGTCTCAGAAAATCCCTAGTGGTCTATATACTTTGCTTTGGTGGTTTTGCTGTGGGATGAGAAACCTCTTTGTCTTCCTTCTGTTGTGGAACTGTCTCTATTTAGAATTTTTCAACAACTAAGTCTAAGCCACAACTGAGTTGACAAAAGAAAAGTTGGCAACTAAGTTGTCTAGATACCAAAGAGAGGAAGTTCAGTGAAATGAAGAAAACACACAGCTAGCAAAATCTAGCTGCTTGAAGAGAATGCTAATCTAAACAGAAAAAATAGTCTATATAAAGAGAGTCTAGTATAGCGCCTTAAATAGTTTCTAAAGCTCAGAGTGTGATTTCTTTAAATTTAAAAAAAAATTTTTTTTTAGTTGTAATTGGACACCATGACTTTATTTTATTTATTTTTCTGTGTGCTGCTGAGAATCAAACCCAGTGCCTCACACGTGYTAGGCAAGTGCTCTATCACTGAGCCACACCCCAGCTCCTTAGAATGTGACTTCTTAAACAGTCCGTTGCACTTTTGAAATATGGATTAATAAGCTGTAAGATCAAAACGGAATGTCTTTAAGAGAAAAAAAGTCAGGGAGATCATGAGGAAAAGATAAAGATCCATGTGAACTAACAGAAGTACATTTTTGGGATCTTCAGAAGTAGAAAAAGGAACAGAGAGATAATAAATTCATCCAGATGATTTTCTTTTTTAAAATGACTACATACTATCAACCACATAACAACTGCCTATATTACCTGCTATTCCTCCTCAAAGTCATCTAACAAGCTCTGAGCTTTTATTTTAATCATATGACAATTTTAGCTCCTACCTCACCATCATGCTCTTTTAATACTTCTGTCATAAGTCTTGGTGGTTTCATTATCCATGTAGATGATACTTCTAGTACCTTGGCTTTTCATTTCCTTAGTCTGTTATCTTTCAATAATATTGTCTCCTGTGTTGCTTCAAGCTTAATTCCTAGACTTCTACATTGCCAATAAAAGCACCTTGTTCATGCATATTACCTTACTCTTTGTTGCCTATTAGCTGTCACTGGCTAGAGAACTTCGTATCTGTAAAAATCAGTTTATAAATTAAACTTTTAGCCAATAAAGTTTTATTTTATCATTGAAATAATTTTAATTATTTCAAAAGCTAGCATACTTTTTTTAAAAAAAGCTAGCATATTTAAATTAATATTAATAAAATGTGTATTAACATCTAACCTGTTTTAAGTCTGTAGATTGTTTCTTACGAGATTTTTCAAGTAAATCAGAGAACAAATACAAAGCAGCATATTTATACTTCACTGACTGTAAGTATCTTTTTAGAAGTTATTACTTCATTGTTAAAGATCCTGTTAATTTTAAAGTGTCTGCTTTTTATACTGTTTAGGTACTAGTGATTTTTTTTTATCATTAATCAGTTTCAATTGAGGATTTGATTACACTATAAAAAATAAGAACCTTTGGGACAAACAGCCATCCATTTCTCCTAGTAAGAGAGAAAGTCTGTTACATTTATGTTCAAACAAAGGAAGCTAAAGTATTATAAGAAGTTCAAAGACACATTTCCGTTTTATGTTATGTTATATAACTATATTTTCAAAATAAAAATACCATGTATTCAGTTAAGTCTTGGTCTCTACTATTAGAGATTCCTTACTTTAAGGAGCATATAATTTTCCTTGCCCAGTAGTAGTTTTTTTTTTTTTAAGGTCATATCATAAATATTTGTTATTTAAGTAACTTTATTATACAGAACTTCATGATGTGGAATTGATAAAATTTAATGAATGTGAACCTTCTTCTAACTTACAGAATCCATCTTTCTCCTCCTCCCTCCTTTCCCCAGATCTAACCCAGGGCCTTATACATGCTAGGTATTGTTCTACCACTGAGCTCTATCCTTAGCCTAAACTTAAGAATCTTGAGACTGAAACATATATTAAAAGGCATTAGGAAGCCAGGCATGGTGGCACATACCTGTAATCCCAGCTACTCAGGAGGCTGAGGCAGTGGGATCATAAGTTCAAGGACAGCCAGGCATTATAGTAAGACCCCCATCTTAAAAAAGACATTAAGAGCCAATGATTTTTATCTCTTATCAATCTTAATAGTTTATTATTGATATTGCATCCTAGATCTAATGGTGAAATTATGGCCTCTTAAGWTTTAGAGCTGACTAGTTAGAATCTTAGAATTTCTGGACATTAGAAAAGTTTCTTTAATTCAAGGGATAATTAACAGTTTGTGTGGCATTGTATTTCACTTACTGGCCAACCTGGAAAAGTAAAATTATAAGCAGTTCTGAAAATTCCAATTTTATTAAGTCATGAGTTTGGATGTAATTTTCCTTTCTAACAATTTTAGTTTGCTCTGTTAACAGATCTCTAGTAGAGATTATGGTGAGTGTGAATGGGAGAAAATGGAGTTTCTGTTATAGTTCTTTTGACTTGAATATACTTGTCTGTAAAGAACACTTACAGTAAATTACTTTGTGAAAGCCATTAATTATATATAAAAATATTCTTAAATGTTGGGATGATTTATTCAAAAGTAATAAAGAGTTAGATGGGATTATGTGCTTTAATTTTTTTTCTTCTCAGTTTGCCCTGATAGTCTCTTTAATAAAATTAAGACATCTTGTCCCCCCAAGTCAATAAGAAGATGTAAAGAAATAAATATTTCCTTCATTCCACATGAATCTCAGGTACTTTCTCTTTTTTTTAAGTTCATAATGGATTATAAATTTGATTTTATGAGTTTAATAATAAAGCATATTCTAAAGATGTTTTTATTTATTATTTGTGAATTTTGTGCCTAATCCATAAATAAGGACTCCCCTTGATAAAGGGAAAAAAAAAGAGCAAAAAATTGGAATATGACATTAATAATGAACAAAGGAGACTTAAGTTTCATATCTGCCACAAAGTCAAATTATAGCCTTTCTGGATTATGAAATCAAGAGATTTCTAAGCATAAATTTTTGTTAGATAAGACCAGAAAAACATTTGTAGCCATTGTGGTATTCAAACAAATGCTGCCGCTTTTTTGGGGGGTGGGTACTGGGGATTGAACCCAAGGACCTTTACCACTGAGCCACAGCCCTTTTTTTATTTTTTATTTTGAGACAGGGTTTCTCTGAGTAGCTTAGGGACTCCCCATTTGCTGGGATTATAGGCATGTGCCACCACACCTGGCAAAATCAAATGTTCTCTAATAAATTTTTAATTTATACAATAAAGGTTTTCTATTCATTTTGCCTTTGGAATAGTTAATAAAYTTTTGATTAATAATAGTAATGGTTAGCTGAGTGTGTTGGTATACATCTATAATCACATCTACTCAGGAGACTGAGGCAGGAGGATCACAAGTTTGAGGCTAGTCTGGGCAACTCAGTGAAGCTATATCTCAAAATAAAAAGGACAGGTGATGTAGCTCAGTGGTAGTGCCCTTTTCTAGCACGTGTGAGGTCCTGAATTCAATCCCCAATACTGCAAAATAAATAAATAAATAGAATAATAGTAAAGATGATAATAATAATAAATTTTGTATAATACCGTGTGTCCAGTACTTTCTTGGATGCTTTAATAAATTTAATCATTTAATTCTTCCAGTAGTTTTATGAAACTATATTAAAGATCAGAGATCAAAGAAGATAATTTATTTAAACAAGTCACACAGCTAATGAATTATTCAGGTTTGTTGTGCTCTGTTCTTTGTGTTTGGATTCTAGCATTTTACAGAATTGAAATTGTTAGTTCAATTTTATTTGGAGCTGAGAGGTTCATTATTGAGGTATAGAAAGGATCCTAGATAAGGGATTTCTCTTTGAAGCAGTTGCTTTTTTCTACAAAGATCATGATCCAAATTGAAAACTGTTCAGATATCTGCTTAGCATTAAACTGTTTTTGAGAAGTTAGCTTTATGCTTACTTCTTTAATATGACATGTAAATTTTAGTATAGAATGAAAATAGGTTTCCTAAAATCATGTGGGATATAAGCAGTAGCATAAGTATTATAAATGTTTCCAGAACATCTTGTTTCACAGCAGATAAATATAGTTTTAGCCCCACAATTCATTAAAATTCTGCAATTGCTATATTTGAAGGAGGGATTTATGTAGATATCTGACTAATTTGATAGTTTATGGCAATAACCTATCTGTATGTATACAGAGAAATCTCATGAGAAGTTTTTACTCAACCAGTATTTGTGAAATGTTATGATTTTATAAAGTCTTTTTAATTTACTTCCTTGATAAAAATCTTAAGAGGATTTGCTTAATAAGTTTAACTATTTTGGAGAAATGACAGAATATATGGGATTTTTGTTTGCTTGAAATAAAGATATAAATGAAATATTGCTAAGTGCTTTGCACTATAAGCAGAGACCTCTGTGAGCATTTATCAATATCATGTTCGGTGGACATAATTTGCTAGATTCAAAGCAGTCTGCTATGAAATGATAAGCAAAATATGTGACTTACCCTCATTTGAATACTACAAAAGAGATACAAATTATTATGTAGCTTCAAAAAACTACCAATTATGATTAGGTTCAACTGCATACAACAGAAAATCTAAACAACAAGAAAATGTGTTGGTTTAAACAACAAGAGAATSTAGTTTTTGCTAATACTAAAGAAAGTGGGAAATAAGCTATATAAAGCTTATATGCTGACTATACAGAATTCTCAGGAACCTGGTCTCCTAGGCATGGCCCTCATGATCCAAGATGACTATAGAATTTTTTTTTTTAAGAGAGAGAGAGAGGAGAGAGAGAGAGTTTTTTAATATTTATTTTTCAGTGGACACAACATCTTTATTTTACTTTTATGTGGTGCTGAGGATCGAACCCAGCACCCTGCACATGCCAGGCGAGCGCATTACCGCTTGAGCCACATCCCCAGCCCGACTATAGAATTATTATATTCTCATTTGAGGAAGCAGGATGAAAGGGAGAATGAAGGAAGARTTGTCATTTATATTTTATTAGCCAAAGTTTAATCATATATCTAAGTTCATGGAGTAGTCTTGCCTGAACATATATTGTTGTTCCTCCTAATGAATTGGAGTATAGTTACTGAAAGGGAGAAGAAAGTTACTGAAAGGAGAAGTAGAATCTTAGAAGTCAGACAAGATCAGGTATGTTTAGGGTAGGATGGCCATAGACAAGAGGCCCACAAGTCAAAAGATTATTGAGGAGCAGTTGATAATGTCAGATATGATAGTGCCTCAAAGAAGTAAAATTGAACATGTAACACATTTAGAAGTTAAACTGAGGAGGTCCATATAATTTAATGAGTCAAGGGATCAAAGAAAGATCTCTTTCCCCTTCAGAAAGTTTAAGGTAAGTAATGTTCTCACATATACATTAAGGCAAGTAGATGAAAGCACTCAAGAAAATGGGAGAAGGCTAAAAGACATCTAGGTAGAAAGTCAACTAGCTGAAGAGTAGAGGAAGGCAGGGGATCTATAATTAAGAAACTAGTTGTGAGTCATAAAGATGAAGAAATATGGTAGTGGTCTAAAGGAACTTTTAATGATGGTGCTAGAAAGTGGAAAGGAAGAAGAGAGTGAGGGATAAAGAAGAAATGTGAGTATAGAATGAAAACCAGCCCCTAAATCCTTTTTGATGCACTGAAATATTAAATGGCTTGATTTAAACAGTATAAGATCCTCCTCTGCAATCTCAGTGCRTTATAGCAAAGATTTATTTCTCATTCATGTTATTGTCCATTGTAGTTTGCCTGGACTTCTGCATTTTCTACATTCTGGGACTAAAACTGAAGGGATGCTCTGGGACATAGCAGAAGGCAAGGAGGAAATATTGGAACCACACAGTGGGGTTCTGTTGTTGTTGTTATGGGTTTTGTTTTAAGGTTTTAATTATTTGTTTTGCAGTGCTGGGGATCAGACCTAGGGCCTTACACATGTCAGGCAGGTGCTCTATCATTGAGCTATATCCCCAACCCCACACAATATTTCTTAAAGCTTTTTGTCTCTATATTCACATTCTAATGATTATAGCCAAAACTACCATCAGTGGGTAAGAAATAGGGAGAAGCCTTCTAAGGCAGGGCAACAAATACTTTTGAACAAATAATATTTACTGCAGTGGGATAATATACTATGAGAAAGTTACAGTTCRAGTGTAGGGTGCTTGTTGATAAATTAATACAGCAATATAACCCTTGGGCAGCACAAAAAGAAGTGGATTGGCCATAGCTGAATCTCAGTCCATGTTCATTCAGGCTGCTGCTGCTGTTGGTCATGGTTATGTTCAGAGAAATGAATGGTTTCCAGAAGGAAATGAATGAATGTGGAAGGAAATGCAAGGTAGTTTATTCATAATACATTATTTAACTTATACTATTTATTACTTGCCTGCTCTTACACCTGGTATATTATTATTATTTATTAATCCCACCGTGTAGTTTAATGGGGAATTCTCAGTACTGATAGGGAGCTGCTGCCTTTGTATCTTCAAATAGTATAATAATAACAAGCCTCCAATCCAGTTTTTTTCTATATCAGTAAATGCTTTAGTTAGTCAAATGGATGAATGTGTCTGTAAGGATTCATTGCATTATGATAAGACTTGTTTCTGGCACAGTGGCATGTCATTTTGGAAAATATTTATCTTAGAGACATGAAGAGTCTAAAGAACTGAAGACATATGTCAACAGTGGGAAATTTCTAGGTTTTTCTCTAATGGGCTAAGATTTTTAATCTTTGATATGTAGGCAAATTTTGGCTTTGTTGTATTTCTTTCTACCAGGTATTAGATTTTTATTTTAGTTTGACTACCTCAGATTCCTTCATCTGTTGCACAGGTAGTGAAAAGCAAACTGTACAATCTCTTTATGAAACAAGAATTGAAGGAGAGAGGTAGTCTAAGCAGGAAAGGAGAGTGAGAAAAGAAATAAAGGATGATATCAAGATGACAGAATGATTTGATTGAGGTAAAGACACAGTTGTTTCAGGAAACAGCATGGTTAGTGCAAGTATTTTTTTCTTTAATGCCTCAAATCACAATTGCATTTCTTTTTTTCTTCTTTTGTATTTTTCTTGATACATTTTAAAAGTCAAGTCTCTAGATTGACAGTATAACTTTTTTTGGCTTAACTTAGGTGTATACTCTTGATGTACCAGATRCATTCTATTACTGTTATAGTCCAGACCCTGGCAATGCCAATGGAAAAGATGCCATTATGGAAGCAATGGCYGAGCAGATAGTTACAGTATGTGCCACTTTGGATGAAAATCCTGGAGTAAGATATAAAAGGTAAGACATAATAGTGTTTGTACATTTTATGCTTCTCTTTGCTGTCCAATGTAGAGGCAAGGGATATCTCTTGTGACTTTTTTTTTTTTTTTTCAAAATGTATTTTTCTTATATATTTACCATGCTCTGCATATAGGAAATCTAAAATATAAGGCTTAAATTTCAAATTACCTAATATTTAGTAATAACCTCTGTTACTGAATTTTAAAGCTTAAACTTGGTACTATTTATAGACATGGTTTTTCATTGGTTTAAGGAATACTTGAGGAAATGTCTTTATTTCATATAGGGAATAGACTTACATTTTTTATGTCTTATCATTTTTACTCTTTTGGGGTTTTTTTTWAAGAGAAGGCCTAAGTTTCATGCTATATAACTTTATTTTCTTCTTTATGAAAATGAGTTTACTGTAAAATGTTGTAATTATTTGTATATGGCTTGATAGTTCATCCAAAATGATTGTACCCATTTAACCCTACCAAGATAAAACATACAACATTAATAGCATCATAGAAGCCCTTCTCATGACCCCTCCCAGTCACTCATCCCTGTTCTTCCTAGAGATAACCTCTATCCAACTGCTAACATATAGTTTAGTGTTTCCTGATTTAGAACTCATATAAAAGGAGTCATGATTTGTTTTTTAGCTCTTCACTCAACATTGTTTTCTAACTCATCCGTGTTGCTGAGTGTCACCAGACAGCTTGGGTTTTCTTTCTGTATTTGTTGTTGTTTGTACTGAGGATTGAACCTACAGGTACTTAATCATTGAGCCACATCTCAGCCCTTTTTGTTTTTTATTTTGAGATAGGGTCTTGCTAAGTTGCTCACAACCTAAGTTTTTTAGGTTGGCTTTGAATTTATAATCCTCCTGCCTCAGCCTCCCAAGCTGCTGGGATTACAGGCATACACCACTGCACATGGCATAAATCACTTTTTATACAGGCTGCTTTGCGTATTTAATAAGTATAAAACCTAAAGGTTCAGCCAAATGCAGTGATGCATGCTTGTAATCCCAGCAACTCGAAAAGCTTAGAGAGGAGGATGGTATGTTGAAGGCCACCCTGAGCAACTTAGCAAGACCTTGTCTTGAAAAATAAACAAGACTGGGGAGGTAGCTCAGTGGTAGAGCAGCCGTGGGTTTAATCCTCAGTGCCAAAAATAAAGTAAAATAAATAAAAAATGAGCTTGATGGGGCTGGGGTTGTGGCTCAGCGGTAGAGCACTTGCCTAGCATATGCGAGGTGCAGGTTTGATCCTCAGTACTACATAAAAATAAATAAAGAAAAGGTATTGTATCCAACTACAACTAAAAAAAATTTAAAAATATAAAATATTGGGGGGCACATGGGAGGATTAGATGAACTCTAGATGGGGCAAAGGGGAAACAGGGAAAGAGAAAGGGGTATGGGGATAGAAAAGACAGTGGAATGAAACAGACATCATTACCCTGAGTACATGTATGAAGACATGAATGGTGTGACTCTACTTTGTGTACAACCAGAGATATGAAAAATTCTGCTCTGTATGTGTAATGTGAATTGTCTCAAATGCATTCTGCTGCCATGTATAACAAATTAAAATTTTTTAAAGTTGTAAAAAGACGAAAAAATGCTTATCTTAAATAGTTCTTTTTAAAATTTAATTTCCTATTTGATATTAGGATGATAATATAGATTTATGGCTGGGGATGTGGTTCAAGCGGTAGCGCACTTGCCTGGCATGCATGTGGCCCAGGTTCGATCCTCAGCACCACATACAAACAAAGATGTCGTATCCGCCGATAACTAAAAAATAAAAAAAATTTTAAAAAAAGATAATATAGATTTATAATTGTATTTTATAAATTTGTATTTTACTTCATGTTATAATTTTGGAGTTTTATATTGGAAATGGATTAAGTATTTAGTTTCATTAATTTGTGATATGAAATGTGAACACTGTGACTTAATATTATAATTCAATAACTATCTTCAAAAATAAAATAAAAAGAGCTTGGGGTGCTGGAGTTGTAGCTCGGATATAGAGCGCTTAGCATGTGTGAGACACTGGGTTTGATTCTTAGCACCTCATATAAATAAACAAAACAAAGGTCCATTGACAACTAAAAAAATATTTAAAAAAAAACTGGGAATGCAGCTCAGAGATAGAGTGCTCTTGTGTTCAATCTTTAGTACCCCAATAAAAATTTAAGAATTGAGAATGAATTATGAAATAAATGTCYATCTTTTTTAGATGTTAATGGACCTTTATTTTATTCATTTATTCATATATGGTACTGAGAATCGAACCCASTACCTCACACATGCTAGGCATGTGCTATACCACCGAGCCACAAACCCAGTCCCTTAAATGTCCATCTTTAGCGAAATGAATATATAGAATCCAGTGTAATCATATGATGGGATACTAAATGATATAAAATGAACAGATGTTGTATATGTGTCAATAGATGTTGCACATGCGTGCGCACATGCACACACATACACAAATAACAGAAATGAATTTTTTTAGTTGTAGTCAGACACAATATCTTTATTTATTTTTATGTGGTGCTGAGGATTGAACCCAGTGCCTCATATAAGCTAGGCAAATGCTCTACCACTGAGCCACAACCCCAGCTCAGAATTCAACTTTTTGATATGTAAAGTATGTCTTGAAAGAAAAATAATTGTTTGAATATTCTTTTCCAATTCTAGTAAGCCTCTAGATAATGCCAGTAAACTTGCACAGCTGGTTGAAAAAAAACTTGAAGACTACTACAAGATTGATGAAAAGAGACTAATAAAGGTAATGTATAAAAGGCAAATAGTGACTGTACATAAAATCTGTATTATTTCTTTATAAGCCAAAGCAGCTTGTTCATTCATTTTCTAGTATTGTTTTGGGAATCATTAACATAGACTTCCAATACTGATTAAAGAATCATTAACAGAGAGTAGTGCTCAGTGTGGTTTAGAGGGGAAGATATGGGCTTTGAAGTCAGCATTGTGTCCACAGCTTGACTCTGCCATTTAGTTCATAGTTATATTAATTTGGGCAAATTATGTAACTTCTCTGTACCTAAGTTTTCTTTTCTAGAAAATAAAAGCTAAGAGAATACCYGTTTTTTAAAATATTTTTAGTTGTAGATGGACACAGTAATTGTATTTATTTATTTTTATGAGGTGCAGAGGATCGAACCCAGTGCCTCATATGTGCTAGGCAAGTAAGTACTCTACCACTGAGCCATAACCCCAGCCTCAAAGAATACCTATTTTTTTAAATTAGTGAGAGAATTAAATAAGATAATACATGTAAAAATATAAAATTTCTGCTGTTATGGGCTATGTGACCTTGAGGATTTTTTTTTTTAAATCTTTTAAATGGATGAGATAATAAGTACCTTGTTTGATTGGTATAAGGATTAAGTTAATATGTAAGTATTCAGCACATATGGAAGTTTAATAAATAACAACTATTGTAATAAAGATAACATAATGTAATCAAGGCTAAGGATATAGGTCAGTTAGGAGTCTCCTGCCTATCATGCATGCGGCCCTGGATTTGAGTCCCCAGCATTGAAAAAAAAAAATGCAATTAAAGATTAAAGTTGGAACCTGGGGAATACCAGCATATAGGTGTGGTTAAAGAATGAAGAGCCTGCGGAAACTGACAGAGGAGGTGCTAGAGAGAGGCCATATTTAATAGCTACAGAAAGAAAGAAAGGAATTGTCCATAGTTTAGGAGAGAAGATRTTCCAGGAAACCATCAAATGCACTACTATATAGTATGTAGAATGAGAGAAGAATATATAGAGTACAATGGGAGCATGGATTGGGACTTACTTTATTCTCAACTGGAAGCTTGGAAGGCATTCTAGATGAAGAGGCCCTTGAGGTTCAAGCATGAATACACCTGGCTGAGGCTGTAGCTCAGTGGCAGAGCACTCCCCTAGAACAGGTGAGGCACTGGGTTCAATCCTCAGAATCACATACAAACAAATAAGTAAAGTTTAAATTCTTTTAAAAAGGAAAAACAACATCAACAAAACTCTTAAAAAAAATAAGAATGAGTACACCATAATAAAGTAGGAAGTCTGTTGCATGATTTTCTTGCAAGGAATAGGATTCCTTAGGTTGAGGCATAGAGAAAAAGGCAAAATTAACAACTAAACAACTTGCCTGGAATGGAGGATGTAAGTTTAGGTGTGGTGTTAGTTGCTTTTATAAGTTTTTGGTTTGGAGGTCCAGTGAAAGCTGTTATTCTGGTTATTATGAAGATAGAATGACTTCATATAAACAGTATACTAAAACTTGTTGAATGAAGAGATACACTAACAATATATTAGTAAATCTGTTTAATCTTTCATAATTTCAGTGAAAAAGTGGCAACATCCACAAAAAACAAATTTGTGTTTTCTATTCTAAGTAATTACATACTCTTCAAAAGCTTGATACCTTTTATTCAAGAACCTGATAAATGTTACCTCTTTTTTAAAATCTTTCCTGACTTTTCATGCCAAGCAATACTTCCCCTACATACTGTCATAAGTCCTAAGCCCTGATATAGCACTTAGATTGTATTTTTTCTGATTGACCTTTCCAAGGACTTGTAGCTCATATATATTAAGAACTTAATAATTGCCAGGCAACGTGCTAAGTGTTTCRTGGTATAAATGTATTTGATCTGCACAACAATCTTATAAGGAAGATGTTATGTGATAATATTTTGTTTTATGAAGAGAGAACTGATATATAACAGGCTAAGAAATTTATTCAAGGTCGTACATCAAGAAAGTGATCAAGGGCTGGGGCTGTAGCTCAGTGGCAGAGCACTTTCCTAGCATGTGTGAGGCACTGGGTTCCATCCCCAGCACCACATAAAAATAGACAAATAAAGTAAAGGCATTCTGTCTATCTACAACTACAAAAAATAAAAATAAAATAAGAAGAAAAGTGACCAAAGATAAATTCAAACCCAGATCTGATTCCAAATGCTGTGCTCCTAAATATTGTACATTACCATCTCAAATTTTATTAAGAGTGATTTAGTCATCTTTTTGTCGCTGTGACCAAAATATCTGACAAGAACAACTTAGAGGAGGAAAAGGTTATTTTGGCCCACAGTTTCAGAGGTCTCAGTGTATGGTCATATTGCTTTGGGCCTGAAGTAAGGTGAAGAAAAGCAAAAGGGCATGAAGAAGATAACTTCTCAGCTGGTAGCAGCCAGGAAACAGAGAGAGARGTAGGGGCAAGGGACTAGATAAACCCCCAGAACTGCACCAGTGACCCTACTTTCTCCTACTAAGTCCCATCTCCCAGTAGTTCATTTAGCTGTCAGTGGATTAATTCATCAAATTGTGGAGCCCCAGGACCATTCATTGCCTAAAAGCCCTATCTCTGAACCTTTCTGCCTTAGGGATCATGTTTTCAACACCTGAGTTTTGGAGGGGACATTCCAGATGATAAGCCATAACAAGGAGTGAATTGTAATTTAAGTACATTTATTAAAGTTTAACCTATATGATTTACTTCTGCCTGATATATGTAAATAAATAGAAAATGTTTATCTAATGAGTTATAGTTATCTTTTATTGCTTTGAATAATAAGCCAAAGAATTTACTACTTTTGAAAATGACATAAAAGCAATACTAACAGTGACTTTTCCCAATACTTATTTGTCATTGAGTGATTAGTGCTGTTTGTGAATTAACAATAAGTCTTTGTGATTTATCATCTTAGTTGGCACCAATGTATTTTAAATATTGTAATGATTAAAAGCACAATCATTGGAATAGAACCAACTTGGATTTTAAACTCTGTTGTGTGATTTGGACAAATTATTTAACTTTAAGCCTAATGCCACATTGTCAAGTGGAGATAACAGTATCTGTCTTACAGGGTTGCTACAAGAATCTGAAATATTTTGAATAGTAAATGAAATAATGTATATATTTSTTACTTAGCAAAATGTCTAATACAAGAGCTCAAATAGTAACTACTCTTCATAATTACATCAGTTTTAGTGTTTATCAAGTTGAATTCTTAATAGATTTAGTGCAAGCTAAATATTACTTTTTTAAAAGAAATTTTGAAAATATTAAATGTAGTATTTTAATCTAAATATGAATATGTATTTTTTCCATAGTGTACCACTCAGATTTTTCTTGTCTTACTATAACTTCACTCTTTGAGGAAATTAACCATTTGTTTTGTTTTATTGTATATTTTTGGTGGGGAGGATCAGAACTTAGGAAAAGTCTGCTTTTATTTTCTAAGTATATTAAAAATATGTTCCCCCCAAAATTAAAATTTCTTAAGATAAATTTATCTTGTTATTCTAGGGTAAAACTCATTCCCAGCTCTTAATAATTGATCGTGGCTTTGATCCTGTGTCCACTGTCCTGCATGAACTGACCTTTCAGGCAATGGCATATGATCTACTACCAATTGAGAATGATACATACAAGCAAGTATAACTTGAAGGGCATATAAAGGGCATATACAAACAGGATAGCATATGAGCATTTAATGATTTATGAAGGATCAGAAATTTGAAAAACTTGTAAACTTTCTTATTCAGAGACTACTTTTACACCTATAATCATAATCTTTTTAAAGAACGTATTGACTTTGTCAGCTTTTTGAATGTGTTTGCCTCCTTAACTAGTCTACAGTAAAGCTACATTTAAACAGATAGAATTTGGACTTTTTCATTTATGTTAAAAGTAAACATCAAGCTCACTGTTATATTTTTGGAAGCAGAAATGCTATTCAAAATGGTTTGGCAGTGATTATTCTGAATCATACACTCAAAAGTGTCTTGTCAATGAAATGTATTTTAAAAAATTAAGATATAAGAAAACAAAGTGGGCTGGGATTGTGGCTCAGTGGTAGAGCGCTTGCCTAGCATGCACGAGGCACTGGGTTCGATCCTCAGCACCACATAAACGTAAAATAAAGATATTGTGTCCACCTAAAAAACTAAAAAATAAGTATTTAAAAAAAAATGAAGAAAACAAAGTAGGATGGCTATTAATAATAGGCACAGTTTTTTACCTACTCTTAAACTTAATTTACTTAACCTTGGTATAGCATATTTACCTTAAAAGTAATATCAGTTAAAAAGCTAATGAAATATGAATAGCTTTTCTATCATTCAACCATTTCACTTATTCTTATATATCATTTATGGGTATGTGTATGTATACATTAAATATGTTTTTTCTAATTGGCATTTTCAGCTAAGATTCACTACTTGAGTATAATAGTAAAAATGAAAATTAGTCTTCTGAAATTTTATGTTTAATTTTGTAGTTTTATTAAAAAGATACGAACAGCTTTTTTCCCAGTACTGAGGGTTGAACCCAGGGCCTTGTGCATGCAAGGCAAGCACTTCACTGAACTACATCCCCAACCCTTTACAGTCTTTGATAATTATAGTATTTAATAATTTTTCTCAAACAAATATTGGTAAAATAATTTTGTATTTTCTATTGTATTTTTAATTTGCATTCTGGTCACTCATATTTCTGAATTTTTCTGTGTGATTTGCGTTAATGTTAGTTAACAGAAAAAGCAATATTTTTCTAATATGAAAGTCATTTTTAGCTGTTTACTTAGAATTTTCTGAAGGAGTATTATTTACCTTGGTTTTTTACTTCAGTCTATAAAACTGTACTCAAGAGATTTAAAAATGAATTAATAAACTGATGGATAATAAAGAATTTTGACATGTAAATAATATAGATATAAATTCTAACCTTGCTTTTAAAATATATATCTCTATAGGTTTGCTGGCAAGCACGGCAAGGTTTAGTTTATATTTTTTGTTGTTTTGTTTTTGTTTTTGTCTTTTTAAAGACACATGGCCTTTCCTTGAATCAAAAAAATTCACAGATTAGCATAAACTCCAGATGCTCTGTCACAATTTGATTGATTGATTGACTAGAATACTGGGTATTGAATCCAGGGGCACTCAACCACTGAGCTATAGCGCCRGCCCTTATTTTTTATTTTAAGACAGGGTCTTACTAAGTTCCCAGACTGGCCTCAAATTTATGATCTTCCTTTCTTAGTCCCCTGCAGACCTGGGTTTACAGGTGTGTGCCATTGCACCAGCTGATCCTGCCCTTTTATTTTGTATTTTTTATTTTTGAGACAGGGTCTTGCTGAGTTGCTGAGGCTGTTCTTGAACTTGATATCCTCCTGCCTCAGCCTCCCTGAGTAGCTGGGATTACAGGTGGGTGCCACTGTTCCCAGCAGTTTTCTTTCTTTCTTTCTTT